AAAAAAATAAATCATGACGCTTCCTCCCATTCTACACACAACTGGATTGTTACTGCACCATCCTCCATGGTTGTGCAACTTGGAAAAGATCTGGGAAGAAAAGGAGATGCATTCTGTGTGTGTGTGTGTGTGTGTGTGTGTGTGTGTGTGTGTGTGTGTGTATGCGTGTGTGACAGAGAGACAGAGAGAGACAGAGATGAGGAGGAGGGAGGCAGGAGAGACTAAGCACAACGGAGGGTTACGGAGAAGAAAAGCAAACGGCCTTAAAGCTCTCCTTTCTCCTCTGGTTCCCCTGGATCCTACAAACTCTGTAGTCCTCGTCCCTTTGCCAGGTCCTCAGTACGCAGGAAATTGACAGCATTCCCATTAAACAGCGGAATGAAAAGAACTGAATTGCAGCTACAACCATCTTCTACTATTTTGATCAGTCAGCCCAGACTGGGAGGGGGGTGGGGGAGAGGGAGAGAGAGGAGGAGGAGGGCAAGGGCGGGCGAGGGGGGGGTCCACTGGTGGAGAGGGGAGGGCTGCCTGGAAACGGCCGGGAAAAATTCTCACCACCAGTTTTGATCATTCAGCCCCGCCGAGGGGAGCCTGGAAACTGCTCGAGCCCCTTGGTCCATAATTGGTTTTATAGGAATGGCTGAGGGCCAAAGTGTTTACATGAGCGTGATTGGCAGCGCGGGGAACCAATGGGAGGTTTACTATGAGATCCTGGCTGGCCAGCCCGGGAGGAGGAGGGAGCAGGGGAACAATGCTGGTTTCATTGCTAAAGAGTTGTCCTCCCTCCCCCCCCCCGATTTTTTTTTTTTTTAGATCCAGCGAGAGGAACTTGAAAGGGGGTTGTGTAATGTACCTTTTCCAATCCCGGGCTGTATATGGAGATTTGGGATTCTTTAAACCAGTGCTACCTGGATTTTATTAAAAAGCGGGGACCTCTGGAGAAAGAAAGCTGGATTTTCCAGGAAAGCAGAGCAAGCCGGGTCCCAGAGCCTGTTTGCTGGAGGGTGGAGGAGTTGGCGAGCCGAACGGATGGACTAAAGGACATTTTCATACCAAAAAAAGGAAAGGCGGGCAAAAAGTCTGAGTTGGATATAATTCCCGAGAGGGAAACAAGAACGGGGGGCAGGCGGCAGGATGGCCGAGAGGCGAGGCGGTTAGGCGGGAAGGGGACCATCCGCTCTAGCAGGTAGGTTTTTCCTTAGTCCCTTATTTTTTTGGAAAGTTAAATAGTTGGCTCTCCCACCCCGGTCTCCTACCCACACAAGTCTTACCTGCCCTCCTTAGCTTTCTTTACATCAGCCCTTTCCACCCTCAAACTACTTGGGAATGCAGGGACTTTTCTGGGATCTGAGCTGCATTGGACTCTTCGACTATCCCCCATTTTCCCTACCTTAGCCCCCTCCCTAAGATTTTCCCTCCAGAAAAATACAACCTAGAGGGGAAAATCTCTACCCTCCATTAAAAAAAAAATGCCCCCACTTCCCTCCGTGCCCCAGCAGTCTGTGAGAGAGGTGGGGGAGAGGGAGAGACATTTTAGATTATAGGCTGTTTTTAATTAAAAGCCGGAATTCAGCCATTTTAACTGCATTTAAGGGAGAAGAAAAGTAGGAATCATCCAACGCAGCTCACAGAAAAATAAATCAGCCCTTTCCATATAATCTGAATATGAAGCTTCAACTTTAAGCTCTCCATTTTTTTTGGTCTTGTGTCCGTCTTCTGAAAGTAGTAGTTTAAAAAAAAATTTTTTAATCATGTGAAGCTCATCTACCGCTGTGCTTAAGATGGAAAACATGTATCCAAGGTTGTGGCGATCTTAGATTTTAAAAAGTAAATGTTTCATCTGGTAACCAGAGAATGGGAGTGAGGGGAGGGGGACCAGGGACGGATGAGCTGTTTGTAAGTAAAAACCAGGTTAAAATAAGAAACCATTAACAAAGCTGGTAAGAGAAGCCCTGGGAAATGACTGGGGGTAGATATTTTTGGTTCAGGGTATTTTAAGCTTAAATTATGTGCAAGTCCAAAGGGAAGAAGAATGTGGCAAACTCCCTGCTAGTATTTACTCTGTAGATAAGACACCAGCAAAACCGAATACTGGAGACTTGTCTAAGGGATGGGGGGCTGTAAGACTGGGAAGAGATTTGGATTAGTTTGTTTGGGGGAGAGAGCTACTGGGGTTTTTGTATAGCTTTTTTTTATAATATAAAAAAATTCAGTTATTTGTAATTGCCCATCCCGCTTGTGTTTGAAAAGAGAGGGAAAATGTATCCAAACTGATTCTCCCTTCCCGCAAGAAACCAGCAAAGGACAAATCTTTTAAACAAACAGCTTTAAATTGGAACTTCGGGAATATTTACCAAACATGGGGGTGGGGAGGGTGGAGGAAGAGGATACTCCCTCTACTGAGAACAGTCAGATTTTAGAAGAGGGGAATTTTTTTTCAGCAGTTAATTTTTTTTTGAGGGTGACTGCATACTCTGAAGTAGGCTTGATGCCACCCCCCCACCACCCTGCCTCTCTGGTGCCTACAGCCGCCCCCCCAGTCCAGGGTTAGCGACCTCCCTTTTCCATACAGGGTCTATCGAAAATGAAACCAAACCTTGTCCTGTTTTGTTTTTTAAATTTCTACCAAATCCTAAGGCTAGAATGTATGCCACGTCTCACGGAATTTTCTGAGACAATCTGTCACTGAAGGGCAGGAAGGAAAGAAGAAAAATCCCTACTTGATTAATATAATCACTTTGAAACTCTTGCCCCTACCTGCTCAGAGGAATGAGGATCTGCTTATAGTAGATTTAGGAAAAAATACAATTCAAAAAGGGGGGGGGGAAAGGGGAGATGATTTAAACTAAAAAACTACCAAGGTTAAATATTAAACTTGTCCCATCAGATACCAAGCAAATGTTTAGTGAGACGTTTTAATCTTCAGAAGCAAAAGGTTTCAGTTTTTAAAGCTGAAACATGTGACATTTTGGAATAAAATATATTTCAGCGGGTGGGATCCGGTCTTTCCATGAGAAGCCACGCTAGCCTACCCCTCTCTGGCTTAGAATTTCTGGAGAAAAAGGGGGAAGAGGGGGAAAAAGCCTATGAAAGCTGCCCCGGGGATTGTGTGTCTGTCGAGGGGAGTTAAAGAGAGCGGCAGTACGCCTTCATTTTTAGTAATATTTTGGAAGTCTAGATCTGAGGAAGACCGAACGGGTAGAAAGTAGCGGTGATTTTTTGAAAACTGAAATGCGATGTTCCTTTTGTATACATTTTTGACTACGGAAATACCCGCTGGGTCTAATAAGCTTTCCTGCCTCATTCAGGGGCAAAGGGAGACTTTGAGGGAAAAGAAACTTATAAGGTTTTTCAAAGTGGTTTCCCTTTTTTGGTGGTGGAAGGGGGTGTTGTTTGTTTTCTCTTCGGGCCGGGAGAGCTCCGCCGGCTCCTGCCTACCTGCTGGCCCGGCTCCGAGCGGTGCTGCAGTACGGAGGAGGGAGCGGTAGGAGGGAATAGCCCTAACTCCAGGGTTTGTGTCTCTGCTCTCTCCCCACCACAGGCAAAGAAAATGCCCCCAGCGGACCCTCCGCCGGCCGAAGACCATGGAACTGCTCCGAGGCTTATATTTTAAATCCCTCTGATTTGGGGTGTGTGGAGGGGGGGAGGGGCGCTGGGAGGGGGGGCGCCTGGGGAGGGGTGGAGGAAAACGAAACGGCTTGGAAGTTGGCACTCAGATGATGGATGGCCGAGATTTGGGGCCTCCCCGGTCTGTCCACGGCCCCCCCCCCTCCGCTACTGTCCGGGTTGGCAATGGAGAGCCACCGGGTCGGTGCTGCCACGGCCGCCGGCCGCCTGCCTTCCTCTTCTGGCCACCTGGCCGCCGGGCTGCCGGCTCCCCTGCCGCCGGGAAAGTACATGCCGTCGGGAATCAACCTCCATTCGCACCCGGGTAAGTAAGAGTCCGAGGTCCCAAGCTCTCGACCTCACTTCCCGGTTACCACTTCTGGCCACGCTGAGCACTCGGTTTCCCCATTCAGTGGAGATCTGTGGCCTCCTGACTCTCCTGAGTTGCACTGTCCCTGAGTTGTTGAGCCCCCTTCGGGTTTCTAAAATCTGATATAAATAACAACTGCGGACTTTTGGCAAGGGGATGTGGAAGACCCAGGGTTAGGATATTGGGGAGGGGAGCAAGGGAATATTTCCCCGAAATGAGGCTTTTAGTCGCTGAAGTAAATGTACTTGGAAATCTTCCCTGTCAGGTCCTTCTGCAACCCTTTCAGTCCACTGGGAGTGTTCCCTTGGAGAATATGAGATCTGAACAGACATCCCTTGGCTTCAGGGACATGATCAGAAAGAGTCAAGAGTCCCTTCCCGGGAGTACCAAATTAAAAAAATTTTTTTCTTAATCTCTAGAGTAAGAGTGTGAGGGCATAGATAGCAGCAGTGTCCAGCCCGGTCTGGACAGATTGCATTTCGGTAGGGTTTCAGAAAAAGAAATCTAGATTTCCCTTTCCCTTTGGGACAGGGCTGGACTGGGGAACTCTCAAAGGTTCATTCTATACCAGGCTACTCTTTGCTCCACCCCGAGGGAACCTGGGTTGCTTGGCTGAGGGAGGCACAGGCTACCAGAGTTAGGAACAAGGAAAAGAGACAGCTCTGTTTGTGAAGGAGCTTCCTGGCAAAGATTTGCCCTATGTTGGAAAAGTATGTGTCTTGGGAGTATAGCTGACATCTGCTTCAAGGGGCTGGAGATTCATTTGCACTGTACCCCACCAGTTTGGTCTGGCTTCTCTGCTTAGGGGGAGGTTGACCTCCCAGGCCAGCTAGCTGGATATATTCCTGCGGCAGGAACCAGGAAGAGAAAGCCCGGGTCAGAACAGACATCATGGGGATTAAGCAGGCCCAAGATCCTTCAGAAGTCTCCTTTTACAATATCCTTCCTCCCCAGTCCTCAGCGGGGGAAAAGAGCTGACTGACTACTCAGTGGCTGGACGCTGGGGATTGAAGCTTTTTTTGGGGGGGGGGGTTAATTCCAAGATAACTTTTAAAGGCTAGTCCAACCCGAAGAGTGTGTTTTCAGTTTTAGAACCTTTTAAGATAAAAAAAAATCCCACAAAAGCCAGAACGGTAAAACTTTTTTCTTTTCTTTAAAAAAAGATCTTTTCCCACTGCCTTTTCCCCCTTAAGATTTGTTTACTAAGATTTTTGGAAGCTTTGGTGTATTTAATAAACACCCAGCCATATAGACACCCTCCCATTCCGACTGTCTCAGTCTCTGAGCTCCTACCGCTGGCTGATTCCCAGATGTTGGGCAGTCAGACTCTGCCTATCCGAGACTCCTGGGTGTACCGGGACTGAGCTCCAGGACTGCAGAGCAGAGTGGTAGGCCGTTCTGACTTGGGGTGGGGGTGAATTGCCTTGTTCTATTGTGATTCTTTGATGTTGCAGCTGTTGTCTGCAAAGTTGTGGGGAGGTCTCCCTTCTGCGGTTCAAGACTTTTTTTTCTGGGGTGTGGAGAGGGGGTTGCTGTGATGACAGTAGACTTTGCTAAGGTGACAAGATTTTGTGTGTGTTTGCTGCAATCAGCCCTGCCTCCCTTCACCCGTCTGCAATGAATGACTTTGAAATTTTGCAAACCTGATTGCCAACATCTGCAGAGAAGGAAGCTGCTCAGATCGAGGGGAAAGATTTATGGGCTAGAGAATGGTTGGCAGTGCCAGTTTTCCAGGTGCTGAAACGAGAGGTTTAAAATGAACAAAGCAATAAAACGGGAGCACATGGGCACCCGCCCTCCGCCCTCCACCCCCCACTCCCCCAAACCGGCTGGAACTAAATCCAGCTTTCGGCTGTCTACTCCCTTCGAATCTCCTAGTGACCCTCTCCGCCCAGCCGAGCTAGGACTTGCACAGGGTTTACTTGAAATAACTAGTTCTACTCTCTCTGAGCGTGGAGTCTAAAATCTAGTTGGTTCAACTAACTTGGCCTGGAGAGAGAAGGGAATTTTTCTTGGTTGGATTCCAGCCTTGGGCCCTTCCTGCCCACCACTTGTCCCTGCAGTTGTGACCTGTCACGTTCTAGCTTCTGTCCTGCCCTGTGTTGTTTACCAGGTCACGCCGTCTGTTCCCGGGCAGTTGTGAAAGTGGGAGGCTGAGGCGGCTGCGGCGGCGCGGTGGGACGCATAGCTTCGGGCTCGGACTGTGAGGAGCTGGGGGAGGGGAAAGAGATCGAGTTTTTGGGTCCTGGGAGCTGGGGTCTCTGGAGAGTGGTGCCGAGGGCCACCAAGAACGCGGAATCGGTTCCTCTTCCCCACTTAGTTTTCCTGCATCCTCTGGGCCTCTCTCCTTCCAGCATGCTCCCACCTCCCCTTATTACTCGGCAGAAGAAGCATCCCCGAACCTATCATTAAAATTTAAATTCTTCCCAAGAGCAGGGGTCCTTTTCGTTTTTCTTCCATTTGAGGGGATTTATTTTTTCCCCGATCGGTATTTTAGGGCGTCAGTTCACTGGAAAATGCCCGACCGGTGGCTGCAGCATTCGTTTGAGCGCAGGGGAAGGGGGGGGGAATGTACCAAACAGTGGAAAAATCAGAGAGGTGGGGTTTGTGGGGTGTTCGTAGTCCGAGCTGACCCGGGGCTTCTCTTTCCTGCTTCTGCCGGGTCGGATTGGTCCCAGCCCCGGAGCTGGCGCCTCCCTCCCTTTCTCTCCACCCGTAGTCCCTGGGGCCCTAGCCGACCTCTTCCCGCTTTCTCTCTTATTTATTTTGCGTGTTTAACTTTTCAGGAACCTGCCCGGCAGCGGATCGGAGGGACAAAGGGCCTTTGTGAGGCTACACTGTGCTGGGGTTGGGGGGCGGGGTGGGGGCGACCTCTTGGAGCATTGGTGACCTAGAATGGGGGACGGAGAGGGGGTGAAGAGGGGAGGGGCGGGATTGTGTGCTGGGGTGTAGGGGACCAACGAGGAGGAGGGTCTAGCCTAGCTCCGGAGCCCTCAGGGTGCCGCAGCAGAATGGATAAGTGCTTAGTGCTCTCTCTCTTTCCAGGGACTGGGAAGTGGGGTTGGGGGCTGGGGGGTGGGGAGGGTGGAAAGGGTGGAAAGCCTCGCCCCGCCAAAAAAAAAAAAAAAAGGAAAGATGTGGTCCTACGCTTTGCTTTAGAAAAACCCAGGGTGAGAAGACCCAGGAGTTCTGGCAAGACTGTTAGCCTGGCCTAGACCAATGGGCTGATCTTGCGGTGATGACCCTCCCTAGGCCCGGCTAAATTCAGTGCTCACTGGGCCTTGAAATGACTGGAACTCTATTCCCTTCCTGGCGTCTGGCCCGGGTGGGGAGGAAAGAAGGGAGCAAGTCCGTACGAGACGCCACGTCTGCCTCAACTCTGCCGAAGAAATTCCCTAGTTAGGAAGGAATAGGGGGGAGGGAACCGGGGGAGGGAGTCACCTGACGAGGCTGAGATTGGGGTCGATCTGGGCATTGGTAGAAAAAAAAAAGACTAGATTTGGGTTACCGTGGGCTGGGAATATAACAAATTAGTTAATAGCCCTGCCTTTTCCCAGGTGCAAACTGTAGGTCCGCCTCCACCCCACCCCCCAACCAGGAAATGGACTGCCTAGAATTGAATGCAATTTTGGAAAAATGCTGCCGTGGAAATTCAATGTAAACCCAATCAGGGGTCCAGAATGGGGGTAAACCGGGCATTTCCCTTGTCCCAAAGGCGGGGACTGGGGGGGGGGACGGACGACGGAACGGGGACGGACTACTCTAGTAGCCGGTAGGATCCTTTAGGACTTCGTAATTATTTCCGCTGGTTCTATTTTAGTCTGCCTCAGGCTTTTTTTATTAACTGGGCCTGGCCAGTCACCCTAGCCGCAGCCCTGGGGCAGGGGCTGGGCTTAATCCCAGAGCCCAGACGTCGGCCTCAGTGAAATTAGACCTGTCCTGGGCCTGCCTTTTCCTCCCCCGCTCCCCCCCCACCATTGGCTCCCGAGAGTGCCAGGGACTGACTGGGTCAGGTAGGTGAGTGGAGGAAGGTGGAACCAGGTTCAGTGACGAAGCTCACCGCCCTTTGTCCCTTATGCTGTTTGGACTCTTCCTGGAGGACGTTTACGGCTAAGTTTTTCTGTAGTTTCCTGGACCACTTCCTTTTTTCTTCCCCTTGAGAGGGCTTTAAGATGGCCAGAGAGTCCAAGAGTAATTCTATTTTACGGGGAACATTTTTTTTTTCAAAGTGCTTTCACTTATATTTGGAATACTGGAAACAACTATGAAACTATGATTGTTATTACTCCCATTTTAAAGATAAGGAAACTAAAGTCCAGAGAGATTAAACTAATTTGCCCAGGGTTACATAGCTAGTTTGTGACAGAGATGGGACAAAGATCCAGGTCATCTGACTGGACCAGAGTTCAGTTCTTTGAACTCTTTTTTTTTGTTTTTTATGTGTTTTTTGTTTTTGCCTTTCTTTGTGTCCCGCGAATTTAGCACTATACCTGGCAAATTATAGGCACTTAAAAAATGCTAGTTGACTCCTTTCAACATCGCGTTTGCCCTTCTAGAAGCTAGTAATCTCTAAAGCGTTAATTTCTGAATATTCGTTGACTGATGTCATGAAGGAAATGTCAGGAGGGTGTGTTAAACTAAGAAAGAAGCTTTCCTGTGAAAGGTCTTCGGATATTAAAGGAGGATATCAGTATTGTCTTCAAGTTTAATTCCCTGGAATGCTGTTGGGTGTATTAGACACTGGGATTCTAGAAGGGACCTTCTTTCCTTCTCTTTTTCTTTTCAGTTAGCCTTGGACCTTTGTCCTTGTATTTTTTTTTTAGAGTTTACCTTTTTAATAATAGTAAATATCTTATTTGTATAAGGGCTTCATCCTATAATAAAGCTTCATTTGAGCCTCACAACAACCATGTAAAGTTAGTGATTAATTGTGGCAGGATGATTAATTCCATTGATTCCATTTCTACATTAGTAAGTGCTATTCTTTCATTTTTACAGACGAAGTAAAAGGTTAGTGGTGAAGTGATTTGCTTAAGATTACACATGGCTAGCAAGGGGCTCAGGGTTCCTGACTCTACTGCTCTTCTCAAAACACAAGGATATCTTGGAGTTTGGCTCCTTCTCCGTAATCAGATTAGCTGTTGATCAGCCTTTTACTTGTTATTTATTAATTCGAGTGGGGCCTGAGTTAGTGGTGCTGTGCATCAGGCTGCCTTCGGTGCCCACTGCTAAGATTTATTTCGGCTGGCTCACCTTCTTCTTGAGGGTTTATTTAGGATAAACATAGAACTTAAAAGCAGAGTCTCCTCCCTCTGGAAAGAGAACCCTCAATAATACTAGTAAAGTCTCTTTTCTCTCATATTTTCATCCCAGGAGGGCATCAAAATGAAGTGGAAAGGGTCAGAAGACTCTGGTTTGTGGACCCTACCTGACATCTCTTACTTGTGTGACTATAGGCAAGTCACTTAACCTGGCTGAGCCAGTTTCCTCATCTAGTAAGCTCATTGGAGTACTAGTTTTAGTGCTAGAAGGAACCTCAGAGGTCATTTAGTCTAATCCCCTCATTTTGCAGATGAGGAAACTGAGGCCACAATGGGTGAAATAACCTTCCCAATGTCATACAGCTTGTAATTGAAAGAGCCAGCATTTGAAAATAGGTGCTCTGAATTCCGCATCTAGTGATGGTGATGCTGCCTGCCAGTGCTGCGTGATGTTAGTTAACATTTATGTAGCACTTTAAGGTTTGCAGAGGGCTTTATATTATCTCACTTGAGGTAGGTGCTGCTGTTATTCCCATTTTACAGATGAGGAAACTGAAGCTGAGAGAGGTTAAGTGACTCACCCAGCTAATAAGCATCTGAGGGGGATCTGAACCTAGGTCTTTCTGATTCCAAGTCCAGTCCCTTATCCATTATACCATCCTGCATAAACATGGAAGTGTTATTATTTCTTAAGCTGTGGGGTTCTGGGGATAGGTTCTTTCTTTGGACTTAGCCCTTATTATGAATTTGTAGGTCTACCTTTGAGCAGAAAGGCACTTCCAATAGCAGGGGAGATTCTAGGTTTGGATATAGGTTAGGAATCTCTCCTGTAACTAAGCAGTAGATAATACTATTCTTGTCTTGTCTGTAAGTGCCCACAGATTCATTCCATTATTAGCCTACAGCTCCTCCCCAGGCTTTGCTGCGGTACAGTTGACATCAGTTAAAACGTGTGTGGATATTTGGGTGATGTTGGAAGGTTGAAAAGTCATTTCAGGGATAGATTTTGGGAGGTGATACTAGGCATAGGGGTCCAAGGTTATATCACCATCAGTAGCCCTAGTCATTTCAGGGTCACTACAGTATCCTAAGACCTCCCACAGAAATTTCTTGGGCTTTCTAAGAATAATAATAATGATAACGATGATTAACATTTATATAGTATTTTAAGGTTTGCAAAGTGCTTTACAGATATCACATTTTATCTTCAGAAGAAAACATGGGAGGTAGGTACTATTACTATTCTCATTTTATAGATGAGGAAACTGAGGCAGACAATATTGAATGCTTTGCCTAGGGTCATACAGCTGTGGATTAATGGATTAGTGTCTGAGACTGGGTTTGAATTTAGGTCTTCCTGACTTCAGATCCAGAGCTCTGTCCGCTGTGCTACCTAGCTGCTAGAGGGTACAACAAGAATGTATGGGTAAATACATGGGAAATAGATCCTGAAATAATGTTACAAATTAGTGATAGGTTCCTAGTCTTGTAACTAAAAGGAACTTTACACGTTATCTAATACAGTCATCTTATTTTACAGATGAGGAAATTGAGGCCCTAAGGTCACATTGGTAGCCAGTGGAAGATCTGGGTTTCTAAGCCAGGCTCAAAACCTCCAAATCTAGTCACTTTCACTAACCTGCTGCAATTAACAAGTACTTTTGTTTGATAGGTGAAAAGCATTGTATTAATATTAAATTTTAGGGATAGGGACCAGACCTGTAATTTTATTGGTAAATGAGACTCCTAGATGAGGAAACTCACTGTGAGAAGGTGCATGTGAGCACTTTCTCTGCAGTTTATGCTCTCAGAATTGCCTAGGATACTGAGTATTAAGTGACTTGTCCACAGTCACATAGCTAGTAGATGTTAGTTGAGAGACATGAACCTTTGAAGTCTTCTTGACTCTAAGACCAGTTCTTTTTCTGCTATGACCCACTTCCTCTCCACATTGAAAGAGTAATTCATATTTTAAGGTATCAATATAATCACGTAAAGTTAGAGCTGGAATAGACTGAAGAACATAGACTGAAGAACTGGATGGGATCTTAGAGTATGAAATAGCTGTCAGAGCTGAAAGTGACCTTAGAACAAAGTATATGAATGTCAGCACCAGGAGGGACCTCTGAGATCATCAAATCATCCTTCTACCCCTCCCTCTGTGCCCCTCCACCCCCTTAGAGATGAGAACATTGCTGCCTGAGGTCATACCAGAGTGTGACCTAAAGTAACTCCTAGTAAGTGTTAAAACCTGGCCAGAACCCAGGTTTTACATGAATAATTCTAGTGTCACCAGTTTTAATAACAGCAGCTAACACCTGTGTTGCTGGCACTGTTACTGACAGAGGAATATGAGAGGTATAAAATAGAACCCCTACTCTATCAAATGAGGTAATATGGGTAAAGCACTTAGCTAGGTGGTGCAGTGGATAGATAGAGTACTGGGCCTGGAATCAGGAGGACCTAAGTTCAAATCTAGCCCCAGACACTTAGTAGCTATGTGACCTTGGGGAAATCACTTAACCCCAATTGTCTGGGGTTGGGGGGGAAAGCAAAGCAC